TGATCCGGATAAGCTGTCTGGCTGTTTGGTTGGCACTTATGGAAAACAGCTGATTCTGAAAAATTGACCATTCTGCCCCTGGTCTGAATAAGTGGTTTAGCTGTTTGGTTAATGTGTTATGTAAACAACTTATTTGGAAAATTTTTTAATTAAATGAATAATATGTGCAGCAGAATCTATTCTTTTCTCAACAAAATTAAAGATCACTGTTCAGTCAAGAAAATACCAAAAAAATATCAAAAAGTTGATTTATATTTATATAACTAAAACATATTCGATCACATCAAGCGAATATGTTATACATACAAATGTCAAACACACCTGTACATACTACTACAAAGTATAATAAGAGCCCATAAAAAAGAAAAAATAACAGGTTAAAATGATAAGTAAAAATATGATAATGTTAACTTTATAATATAGCAGCATATCACGGCCCATGCCACCTGCATCTGACACTCTAGAACCCTGAGGAAACTTGTCCGACTGCGATATCGTAGAAACGGAAGAACTCGAATCACATGTGGCGTTCTCCCGTTGTGGTACTATTGAACTCCTAGTAGTTGTGTCCAATTGGGAGCACATAAAAATAGTTCCAGTGTCGGCCCACCTGAAGAATTTGCAGTCGTCTGGTCCTTGTCCCCACCGCGGGCACCTGTAACTAAGCAATTATTTCCCATAGCTACTATAGTACATAGCACTTACAATAGAAGATCTTTCAAATTATTCTATTGATTTGTTTCTTGGCTCACTTGTCCAAAAATAGCTGCATATAGGTGGACATAATGGTTCCGAAAATAATAATTTTGATTTCATTCATTCTTCCCTAACCAAACATCATTTTTCGCAACCACAAAACAAAGAAAAAACATCATCAATCACATTTTTTATCTTCAAATGAACACATCTACTGGAAAAAAAAATAGAACTAACCGGATTTCATGAATGGATCCACCGGAAAAAGCAAAGAAAAATAGATCTAACATGATTTCACGAACGGATCCACCGGGAAAAAAAAAGATCTAAACGGATTTCACGAATGGTTGAAAATGAAGAAGAAAGACGAGACATGTGAAGGAATAGGTATACCTGTTGAAAGAAGTGGTGAAGAAAGAAATGCGAAATGCGACTTCAATCGTGAAATGGGTGAAGAGAAGCACATGTGATCTACTTGTTGAGAGAAAAACAAAAGCTCAAACCGATTTCTCGAACCACAGCAAAGGACGATGATGGAAGATTGAACATGCGAAGAAGAAACAATTATACATGTTGAGAGAAATGCCGAAGGAGATGGAGAAGTGAAGATGCTGGAGAAGAGAAGACAAAACACACCGGATCTTCTCCTAGGACCTCTTAGGGCTCGAGTCTTGCGAAGGAGTAATGGCAGATGCGAGGGAGGGCGGGGTCACGAGAATCGTATGAGGGCAGGGTCACGGGAGTCAATAAGTCTCCCTTCCTAGATCGAAAAAGCGGACCGCGGAACGACCCCCGCGGTCTGCATTTTTTACAAAATAAAAAACACAGTTTTATATAAATTGTCAATAAGTGCTAACCAAACAGCAAGGCGGCGTTTTCAAAACGCCGCCCGCACTTTTAAGCTGCCCCAAACGGGCCCTTAAACTCACTGTGGGTGCGTTTGGGGTAGCGGTGCGATGCCGCACTGCAATTTTTTTTATTTGACAAAATTACGTTTTTCCTTGTTTTTTGAAAAGTTATAGTTGAAAGCTATGTTTTGCCACCATATTTGACAGACTGTGGTAGCTACTAGAAAATTATGGTTTGACTTGAAAAAAAAAAGTAATAATAGCTATCACAAATTTTTGAACATCAACTTCTTCTACAGTTGCCTCTCTAAAAAGCTGCAGTTACTGTAAAGAGTCCTTTATTCTTTGAATGCCGCTTCTCTTTTCTTCTCAAAGCACACATTTCCTATGACTACTTTTTATCTATTTGGGGGAAACCTTCGAATTGTTTTCCTGATACTTCAACTTGTAAAATGATAAACTCTTGCTTTTTATTGGCTGTGCATATCAATGCTCATTATGTTTGGTTAGAAATGAATAATAGAATTTTCAAAGAAACCCTCAATCTCGTTAATACCTTAAAGCATAAAATGATATTTGCTATTAAACCAAAAAAAAAAAAAAAAGGAAAGGAAAAAAAAAAGAAGCAGCATGCGGATTCTTAGGGGAAGCGTCCCTGAAATTATACGCAGGTTATATTACAACTAATTCTATCTGATCCGCTTTGATGGTTTATAGACTATCATTCGGTCTATATACTATCATATACATACCATCTTTTGGTCTTTTTTGAAAGAATCTATGGTGAAAATGGCTGCAACATATGTGATAAATTACATTTCATAATTCATTCACTTATATAATCGAAAGAATATTATCGAAAACATGAAAACTATATAGAGCTATTAAATTCAACAAAGTAAAAGTACGCACTTAAAAATATGTGTATAAGTTCTCAAAATTATCGTGCAAAAGTTGTATAAAGATACACTTGGTTTTTCGCCTTGGTGCTTGTTGCTCCTACTTGGAAGACAACAATGAATAATGAGCAACAAAGAGTTCAGAAAAATAATCAGGCTAATATAAGATTTTTTACATGGAAAAGAAATAACGTGCATATTCGTAGGGAACTGTACATATCTACTCACATAAGTAATAACATGCGAGGATGTTAGAGAACATGAAAATAGAGTACATAGTATAAAAATCAAGATTGTAGTATAAAATATTTATCGTAAGCATGAAATCATAACTATAATAAAAAACATATTCATATGGTGTTTATCGTATGTAATCATAGTAATGTCACTTATTTAATGTATAATATTTAACTATTTTCATGTCTTTTCATCATGGTTGCCCCAAGATCATATAAACTATCAAAAAATGTTAGACTTCCCCCAACATAGCAGTTATCAATAACCCTCTGATAACTACACTTCCTAACAATCTATCACCGCCTAATCCAAATGGTTATGAGAGTTTTATTCTCATATAAATATTAGGAGTCGGAAATACTACATCCTCACATAATGTACTTGCAAACACTTATATAATTGTCTATTTATACATTCATTGTGACATTTAAATCATAATTTATGTAACAAACATTTATAATACATATGTATCATAGACATGAAACATAATAAATGAATACCTACAGTGAATTCATATTATAAGGATAGTAATATGTAGCATATGCTGATTACACATTACATATATCGTAAGAAAAGTAAACATGCATTCATGCATTCAATTGCATGTATCCATCAAATATGCCTAAAGTTCAAAATGCATCCGTGTCAAAATAAAAATCATATAATAACCAGTAGAACATTATTTTTCTCGAACCAACATAAGCTTGTTTCACCTGGCTTGACGGAGCAGCCATACGAAGAGTGCCCACACGCTCGTCTCGAGCTCGCCACCTCGTATATACAACTTGAGGCTCGTAGACAACATTGAGTTTCATAAAATATGTCTCATAATATGCATTAACCCAAAAGTGTATTTTACTTGCCAAAACATATCTTAAAGGGCTTTTCGACATAAATTCGTCTTCCCGACATTACCAATTTCACTTTCCCTCCTTCATATTACCTCAAACCCTACTCACTGATTTAGAGCTAAAATATATTTAGAAGTTTGTAAAATAAATTACAATACTTTTGGCATAAAATCGATGCCTCTGATGGCTACCATAAATGAGAAAAACATGAAAAACAAAGCAAACTTTAGAATGGGAGGGTGAGGAAGGAAATAAGTTTCAAATTTTGTAAAAATAAGAATCGTACCATTTGAATTCGACCACGATACCCGAATAGTTAGTTTCTGCTCCCAGGTGGCCACTCGTCTTTACCTGTTCACGATCTGCACTAGTGTCGGATCACGGGAGTTCCCCAAGTGTGGGAAACCGACAATGGGGAGGGGGATTCGGGGAAATGGAGAAGAAATCGAGAAAGGATAAGGGAAATTCGAAGTTCACTTGCCTTATTAGATGGAACAAATCGAATAAAAGGCACGAAGGTCAGTTATCTATAATGTAAGGATTAATGATTATGTTAATTAGGGTAATTAAAGTTCATTATGTTAATAAATATATAAATTATCCATTTTATTTCTCCCAATCCATTCATAATTAGAATATAGTACTTTGTATGGATTTGATTGATTTCATGAGTATAATATTGTAACACTATTTCGATCGAATTTATGGAGATGAAAATTTTAAGGTATTTTTTTCAATTGTGCTGAACTTTACCTGATATCTTGAAATTTGGGGGTTACAACTTTCTACTCTTGATAAAAATTTCGTTCTCAAAATTTTTAACTTTACTCCAGAGATAGAGATATTTCTGTAGCATTTCTTCCTTTTTTCCAAGTAGCTTCCTTTTTCGGCCCGTGCTTTCACTTTATCTTCACAAAAGGAATTTGTCTGTTTCTGAGCTTTTTAACATCAGTTTCTGAGCTTGTCAATATATGCTAGATTTTTATGTACTTGAATATCTTCAAATAAAATTCTCTGCTCTGAATTTAAAACCCATTTCTTAACATGGAAATGAGAAACACATCGTGTATATCTGACATACC